CATTCTGTTAAAATTACATACTATGTTGTCTATTCCAGTGCAGTAGTTTTCAAGGTTCTATTGTATCCATTAGGAGCTGTGGTGGCGTAGTGCCAGGCATTTGACTGCTAACCAGAAGGCTAGTGGTTCAAACCCACCAGCCACTCCCTGGAAAGAAGACTGGGCAATCTACTTCCATAGAGATGTTGTTGTTATGTGCCGAGTCAGACCTGGCTCATAGTGACACTTCCTTGGGTTTCCAAGGCAGTATCACTATGGAAGTAGATTGCCCAACCTTCCTCCCGAGGAGTGGCTCGTAGGTTTGAACTGCGAGGCTTTTTGGTTAGCAGTCTAGTGCCCTAGGCACTACTCTCCCAGAGCTCCCTCAGAAACCCAAGGAGGGGCCGTTATGAATAGAATTGACTCAACAGCAGTGAGTTTGGTTTGGTATGGTTTATTGTATCCATTAAAAGCTAGCAGTGTCTAAAATTCAAACATACAAATATAAATCACATGGGCAGATAATTTTAATAATAAATGTTGCTGAACTGTTTCATGATATAATGTTGAATTAGGCACTAGTCTCATTTCATCCTCTTCAAAAAGTAATCAACACTCACCAACTTCAGCTGCTCCTCATTCTAACTTTGGCAATCTGTGTGTTCCTTCCACTTGACTGAAATTACTCAGTTACTTATCAGGGTTAACTTCTTTTCAGACCCTTGGCATTCTCTGTGGGTCACTGTAACGCCTTCCCAAGTGTCCTCCCTACCACACACATACAGTCCTTTCTCCTTCCACCCCCTACATTCTCCCTTTTTCTAAATGCAATGACACTCACAGTGAAAACCTTTTAATGACTTTCCCAATCTTTTTGAGATAAAAATCCAAACCTCTCAACATGAGATTGGAATTTGCCAGTGACATGCCATTTACCAAAACTGAAACCCCTTTTCAGCCTATTTGAGGGCTGTGACTACCCCGACCACACAGTCCGTTTTGGAACACACTCTTCCTTGAACTGCTTGACACTGCCCTAGTATAATTCGCCTACTTCTCCTCTGTCTTCTCTCTGAGATTTCCCTAGGTCCTGTGCTCATGTACCTTTTCTTGTAGACCTCAACAATTCCTATTGAGGAAAGGCTCCCAAATTAACACCCAAAATAACTTCAGACACACATTTCCAGGGGCCTATGGACCATTTTTATTTGGATGTTTCAACAACAGCTCAAATTCTGTGAACAAATTCCGTTAAAAGCAGATTCCTCTTCTTCCCTCCAAACTAGGTCTATTTCTACCTCTGTTCATGGCTCCAGAAATCTTCCTGTTGATAAGAGGGAAGACAGCCACCATGTGAGGACCCATCCACAAGCAAAGGAACGTTGATTGCCAGCAAAACCAAACCAAACCAAATTCACTCCTAGAGTCAATTCCGAGTCATAGCAACTCCCACTGGCTTTCCTAGGCTGTAAATCTTTACAGAAGCAGATCACCTCATCTTTCTTCCATTGAGCAGCTGGTAGGTTTGACCCACTGACCTTCTGGTTAGCCACCAAATGCCTTAACCACTACACCACCAGAGCTCCTTCAATTCAAGGTTACCTAGTACTGCTCTAACAGAAATACCATAAATGGGATAGCTTGAACAAAAGTTTATTCTCTTACAATTCAGGAAGCTATAAGTCCAAGTTCAAAGTGCCAGGCTCTAGGGGCTGGGTGAAAGCCCCTTGACCTTAGGCTTCAGCTCTGCCTCTTGCTCCCAGCCCACTGATGCTGGAGGCTTCCTTTGCTCAGGTAGCTACCAGCTGCTGAGGCTGACAAACCCAAAGTTGACAAGTACAAAGGCACAGTCCCAACATTACCAAACCACATGGCAAGCCATTAAAGTCCATTGAAAGTCCCGAGGTTGGCAGAGCATGGCAGGCTGCTATATGCAGGGTTCAAGTGTGCCATAAGCTAGAGACCATTTTCAAAGCTGCTTCTTACGGGAAGCAGACCACATACCCAAAGGCAGCTACTCAGCTGTTCACAGTAGATTCCACCATGGAGTTGATTGCCAGTCTCATCATGGGGAATACTACATACAGCTACCCAGCCACTCAACCAAGGCTAGCCAAGTTGACACACAAACTTAACCGCCACACCAGTAGACACCAGAAACTAGGACAAAGGCCCACAGAAAAAAGTGATGTGGCCAAGACCCTGATTTGGACTTGTAGCCTCCAGAATTATGAGAAAATAACTTTTGTTCCTTAAAGTCACCCATTTGTATTTTTTGTTACAGCAACGCTAGTAAACAAAGACATTATCTCTCTCTTCCAAATTTTGTTATTGTTGTAAGGTGCCACTGAGTCAATTTCCTCTCATTGACCCCACCTGACAGCAACAGAATGAATGGCTCCATAGGGTTTTAATCTTTACACAAGCAAATCCCAAGGTCTTTCTCCTATGGAGCCACTTGATGGATTTAACCACCAGCTTTCTGGTTAGTAGCTGAGCACTTAACTGTTGTGCCACCAAACTTTCTACCTCTTTTTGATTCTATCCATTGATGCCAGAGTAGTATTTTAAAAATATATCTTTGGGGAAAAAAAGTCTTTGATTTTATCATGTCCTTGCTTAAATGGTTTCAGAATAAAGTTCCTTTTTGATCTCACTCTAACCAGCAAATAATCTTATTTGCAACCATATCTCTAATATTGAAAGCTAGACAATGAATAGGGAAGACCAGACAAGAACTGATGCATTTGAATTATGGTGTTGGCAAAGAATATTGAAAGTACCATGGATAGCCAGAACAAACATCTGTGTTGGAAGTATAGCCAGAATGTTCCTTGGAACTAAGGATGGTGAGTGAGACTTTTGTCTAATGTACTTTGTACATGTATGTGATCCGGAGGGCTCAGTATTTGGAGAAGGACATCATGCTTGGTACAGTAGAGTGACAAAGGAGAAGAACCTCAATGAGATGGATTGGCTTCAACCATGGGCTCAAGCATAGCAAGGATTGTGAGGATGGCACAGGCCTGGACAGTGTTTCGTTATGTTTTGGTATGAATTGGAACTGGCTGAACGACACCTCACAATAACATCTCCTATGCTGGAGCCACTCAGTTCTCTGAACAGGCCCATTTATTTCCCACTTCTGTGTCTTTGCTCACCTGTTTCTCTTGCCTGCAATATCTGCCCTTAAAATCACTCTTCCTGGGGGCAGTAGTGGTTCAGTGGTAGAATTCTCCCCTTCCACGTGAAAGACCAGGCTCTATGCTAGATAATGCACCTATGCACAACCACCACCCACCTGTCAGTAGAGCTTTTATCTGTATTGCTATGATGAACAGGTTTCAGCAGTGCTTCCAGACTAAGACTAGGAAGAAAGGCCTGGTGACCTGCCAAAAAAGCAACCAATGAAAACCCTATGGATCATAATGGTCAGATCCCCAACTGATCAGACCTCTCCAAGCAACGAGAACAGGTGTTTCCTTCCATTGTGCACAGGTCCCAGTGACTCTGCCAACTCTAACATCTTTTCCCAGCAATTTTTCTCAGTTGCAATCATTTCCTCCTACCAGCAGGTTCCTATAGCATTTTATCAGCTAATCTGTCAACAACTTAGTTTGTGTAGTTGTCTTATTTTCCCTGCTAGGTTGTAAGATGTCAAGTGTATTCACCTTACTAGACGTCCATCCACATCAGAAGAACTGATGAATTGAACAGAATTTGTAAGGAATGAAAGTGAAAACCAAGATGTAGTAGCAGAGCATAACGTGGAAAAAGCAAAATCAGGAATAGAGTCCACAGCTCCTGATTTCTACCTAATACTCTCTCATCCAAGACAACTCAGTCCCAGCCTACATTGCAGAACTGGGGAATAGCCTGCCTTTCCACTCAGGGAGGCTCTCTCCCTTCCTTCTGATGACTTATTAATCAATCACAGTGCTGCTCATAAAGAGAAGCTGGGGGAAGAATGAAAGAAAAAAGGGTCTAACTTTAAAAACGTTAACATGGTGGGATTGGGTGGGGGCGTCACTACATAGTTCATTTGTGCTGTTTAGTGAGTTTGAGTTGCACGGTGCTTGCTAGCACAGGACTCGGGGTCTCTGGTCAAGATATCTGGAAAAGAGATTAAAAGCTATGCAGGTTATTTTAGACCTGCTGGTAAAAAAAAAAAGTCAGTAATGGTATAGCAAAATTTAAAGGACCGCGAAGTCCAGACGTGGGGGGGTTACAAGTAATATGCGCTTGAAACATCAATATTCTCCCAACACTGGTCCTCCATTAATGATTGATTGAATCTGACCGTAACAACCCTTTCCAAACGAAGACATAAAGCCAAACATTTAAACCATTCCTTCTGCACCATCTTGCAAAGTACGGGTACTGAAGGCACGTTGATGAGGTCACGAGCTTCTACAACCACCTAAACACGGGCCGATCCTAGCCATCAGAAACTCAACTTATACAAAGGAGTGCCCACACCCCGCGGGGCAAGAGCCTCACCCTCTCAGGGCAGTCCTCAGGCGTCGCCTAGAGTCCGCACAAAGCGGAATGCTCTCGAGGTGGAAAGCTCTGGCGATGGCCGCCAAAGACTTCCTCTACACCCACTGCAAGCACCGCGGAAGTCACCGCTGGCCCAGGGCGGGCAAAACAGTTGCCCACGCCGCGGCCGGCGAGAGCCGGTCCCAGCTCACAATGCGCCAGGCCCGCCGCGGGGTGAGCGCAGGCGCTCGAGGGACGGGGACACACGGCCGCCGCGGATCTACGGCCCGCCCACGTCCGCGCGGCGGGCCCACCGCCTGCGGGGCAGCTGCTGGGGGTGGGAGGGCGGGAAGTGGCCAGACAGTACCAGCACCGCAGGGTCAAGCCCCCTCCCCCCTCTCCCTGTCCCCTTCCTCTTCCGCCCCCCTCCTGTCTCTGCTCTCTGCAGCCGGGCTCCTCCTGGCTCGCGCGGCTATACGGCCGGCTGTGACGTCACCTTGCCCCGCCCCCTTTCTATAAATACTGGCGTCTCAGGCGCCGCTTTCCCACACTCGCTGGCTCTTTGGTTGGTTGCAACGTCCGTCTTCTTCTGTGTTGGAGCCTTCTCGGCTTTTTCGCATCCTTTTCTCGCTCTGCTGCTTTGTGGTGTGACGAGGCCGAATTCTCTCCCCACCCAGCCCTCGTTTTTCCTTTACCCGCGCTGTTCTATTTCTCTCCTTCGGCCGCCGCCGCCACTGCTGCACAGCTGGTGTCGGTGCCGCGCTTTTCCCCCTACGTCGTTCCCGCAGCCTATGGCCCAGGCCGCCTTGGGTATTTCTGCTCAAGGTAACCACATCCCTCTTTAAAAATTCCGCCGAAAAAGAGAAGACGCTTTACCCGACTCTTTGGGCCGTTATCTCACGTGAGTACCGATCCGCGGGGCAAGGGCGGTCCAGTCCCGCCCGGTTGGGGCCCGCCGCCCGACGGGCGTCCCCGCAGCACCCCGCGGCCGGTCTTCTCTTAACATGGCGGACGGCAATGTGTGTGGCGGTTGTCGGTGTCTGGCGGTGGCGACGACACGGAGGAGCTGGGCCGGCGGGCCGCGCCTTGGGGCCCCCGGTGGAGCCCGAGCCGCCGCGGTTGGGGCGAGGGGGTGTGTGCGTGGGGGGGGGCACGCGCGAGGGTCTGGCCGCCGGGGGTCGCCGTCGCCTCTAAGCGGCGTGCGGTCCCCACCCCTCTCCCGTGGTGCATTGCTGTTTCCGGGGAGGGGGCCCGGCCCGTTGCCTTGCGGGGACGGGGTCCCGCAGCTCTGGCCCGGAGCGGCGGCGCCTCCGCCTTGGCCTCTAGGAGCCCAGCTGTCGGGCGGCGCGATGGGCTGGAACTGCCAGGCCCTGGGTTATGAATGGAGCGGGGCGGGCCCCACGCCGGTCACTGGTGACAGCTGCCGGGGGAGGTCAGATTCTTGGGGGGTGTGGAGAGTGAGGTCCCCCTCTGGTGGAGGAAAGTTGACGCCGCTCGGGACCAGGCGGTCGGGAAGCCCAGATGTCAGGTAGAGAGCTAGAGGCCTTTGGCCCCTTCTGGAAGCCTCGGGGCTGCTGCTCCGCCCCCTGCGGCGCTCCTGATTGGGCCGAGTCGCCTTCACTCACCCCAGTCACCTCCTGGAGCCTGAAGATTAGTCACCATGGCTTCGTTTTCCCGTCCGCGCCACGATTCCTGGGCAGAAAAAGGCTTGGGTGGCTTATACTATGTAGACTGCCAACAGTTAGTGGTGGTCATCCTTAAACACAGTATATTAACGTACGTGCTGATGGGGAAACCTGGGGACACTTTCTAACAGTGACATTACAGTAGATTTGTTGGATTTTATACTGGCACATTGGATACATTACAATGTTCTGCGTCCCGTAGTATTTGCACCGTCGAATCCCTCGGCTTGGTTGGGAATCTGAGACCTTAGGGTAGAGAGAATTGCTGTGTGGTCCAGAAAGGTTGCTGCGGACCAGCTTGGCTGAAATATGGCTGATTGTCTGGCAAGGCCCTAATAATCCTGTCCTTTCTTTTACAAATGAGTGCAGATGTTGGTCATAAAGACAAGCCTTGAGGAGTTTACACTTAACATTTAGAAAACTTCAAAGACTTGGACTCCCACCTAGATTCTACAGTTAACATTTTACTGTATTTGCTTTATGTGTCTGTCCTGCAACCTTTTTGTCAGGTCATCATATGAATTCTTCAAACTGCAGCATGCCCATATCATTAGGCTTCAACACTTGTTTGTTGTTGTTGTTATATGCCGTCGAGTTGGACCCGACTCATAGCGACCCCTCCTTGGGTTTCCGAGGCAGTATCACTACAGAAGTAGATTGTCCCATCTTCCTTCCGAGG